GAATGTTTTAACTTCGACTCTCGTAAAGGGATACTTGGCGGTAGTTTTACTCAACATTCTAACGTGTGCGAGTAGCACATTCGGACTTATTTTTGCTCTTCTTACAAGTAGACTGGCGTCAAGAATGCGTATTTTTGATATCGTTTTACTCTCCATAACACAAAATAAATTTTTTGAACGTACGAGTCTCATTTTAACCTTTACTCCGTTAATTAAAAATTTATATTCATTGAAAACGTTGCAGTGAAGATGGCCAATGAGATCTAGCGCGTGATTTCCTTGAATGTATTGCGTGCGTATCTCAAGCGCTGTATTTGGATTTGACGAGTCTAATGTGTCGTCCATACCAGGGACACGTTCTATAAGCAAGAGATTAGATGGGAGGTTTTTGCGGGTGAAGCATAATTTAATAACGCCTCAATGTATGCGCGGTACGCGTAAGAATTGTTTGATGACGATATGAGTTTTTGATTGAAATATACGTCGATTTGGTTGAACATGGAATGCAGTAAATGATTTACGGGACCTACTTTTGTCCCGCCGTCGGATGCAACCGATGTGTTCTCCCCGCGTTTGCTTTCTACGCGAAAACTCAATATGATGTGAGTGAGGTCGAAATAGTCTTCTCCATGACGAATTTCATGAGCGAATCGTCCGCGAGCAAAGTTACGTTTGTAATAAAGTTTGTAATAGAGTTTTTAATAAATCCATTGCGAACTCTCAATGCTGGTTTGCGTAAGAGGCAGAGAGAAGAGATCGAGTTTACTCTTTATACACTCGCTTGAGGGGGTATGAAGAAAAAACATGCTTTTTCTCCAGCCACGAATTCCTATCTCAATTAAGAGAATATGTCGGATATGTCACATTTCTTGACACAATTTCCTAGCGGATGGTTTTTTTATTTTTCTTCCTGCAGCATGAATTTTCTTTTTCTTCTTCGTCACTTTTTTACTCTTCTTCCCTGTGGTACTCTTCGATGATTTTCTTTTGATCCCTTCACGTTGTTTACGATACACAATACGTCTATCTCGACCACCAAGTGGAAACTGAAGCACCGTGGATTTCGCGGAAATTTTATATCCAGACTCTCTCATCAAGAAACTTATTTTTTTCTTTGGTTTTTCTCCACAGATTACCCTTCGATTCCGCGAGCCGACTTTTGACCGCTTCCTTTAATGGCTTATTATTTTCGACGTCTTCTATCACATTAATTCCCGCACAAGCTTCTTTTCCGACAGCACGCGCATCTTTATTTAGGTAAAGTAATATTTTTCTAAATAACTTGCTGAAAAAGCTTCCGATTCTATCTCCGCGTTGCTAGAATGAACGAAAACAGGCAGAATTCCTCTGCTACCGATATCCCGCGCATCAAAATACTTCTCATATTCCGTCACGAATTTTTAACTATAAACTGGCACTACCGACACGTTCGCGTACACGAAAGAAAGTTATTGCTTACGTTTAAAGTGCAGCGTCACAGTCAGCGTATCAAATTCGAATGGAGTTTTATTTTCAAGATGATCTCTTATATCTATTTCGATCGTTCTGAAATTTGTTCATCGCAATAAGATATAATTTGAAAATGAGAAATGCTTCACTAAATTTGCACCAAATGCGTAATTATGACTGCGTATCAGCAATAGTATCTCGATGAGTACTATTCTGAGAAGAGGAGTAGGCACATCACCAGTTATATAAGGCGCACAAATATCACAATATACGAACATTTAATCGGAGATACCTTGCCACAAGCTATAGGGTTTGCTACTTCAATAACCGATTGTATGTCGCTGCCCCGTCTTCTTATTAAATATCTGTGAGTAAGAAATATTTTTTTCTTTTCTGTCTTATTGGAATAGGTTTACGTATCGCGAGGTTGAAATGAAATTGGTGTTTATTGGAAATTGCTGCTGAGAAACCTAGCATTCGTAGAAAATTGTCTTAAAAGTTTATATGATGTAGCATTTTGCATTTTTCATCGCAGTTAATACTTATGTAGACTTTGCCGCCAGACGCTTTATGCTGTTCGAAATAAAAATGCAATTCGGCATCTTTACACGTGATATTAATCACCTCAATAAGTTCGTGGATATCGTTGTAAATTCCATTTGGAAATGTAACTTCTTTTGCCGTAAATGGACCATTCGTTTGCTCATCGGGTTTAACATCGACGAATCTGATCACATTTTTGTTATGACGTACGTGTAAAAAGGTACAGGAAAATTGAATCTTATAGCAATCTCCTATTGTCCGTGCAAAACTATAGAGTGAGGTAATTTCGTGATGAAGGACAACATTATATTATCCAGAAAATGACGCATATTGCTGTTACTCGGAAGTACCAAAAGAAATTGTTCCTCCACCATCGCGAAGAGAAATTAAACTCAATGCCGGAATCCAAGTATCAAACTTACTGAGATAACCGCGTCAGCTAACTAGCACTTGCTTATTAGCTCTTCGCCCGCTACTCTTTATCACGCGATCGACAATAAAATGTTCTTCCTCTAAATTTTTCTCAACTCGAGCTAATTCTTGCTTATAAAAAATACCGTTAATGACTTCGTCTACTAAATCTCGCAGTTCGTGAAGGTTTCGCCAATCAAGAACACGATAAATTTGAAATATTTTCTCGCTCCACTTAGCCTCGTAACCTTTCTCGAAGGCAGCTTTTGCTCTATGATACGAACGAGATCTCTGACGCGATATTTAATCTTTCGCGCCCGTTTCTTTAATATTTTGTTTTTCCAACGACGTGATATATTTTCACGAGCGATACGTGCGTTTTCTCTTGTTACTACCGCAGGTTGCATTCTCGTGGACGAGTGACGCGTGTGATTGTAAGCGCGTACAATGTTCTGTAGAACATCACGTAGCGTTGCGTATTTTTATACGTGAAATAACGCCACATTCGCTCCTTCAATGTTCTGAAGCGCTGGACGATGGCGGCTTTTATATCCGGATTGCGCGTTACTCGAAAACGAATGTCGTTCTAAGAAATTTTTGCATTGGTGCATGACAAATTCTTTATCCTTATCCGTTTGTAAGTATACAGGTACTCGTCCTTCGCTTTTCACTAGTACGTGTTGAAAAACTTTTATTACGCTGCTCGTTTTATCATATAGCGGTTCTACTCAGACGTATTTGCATAGTACCATACATCGAATCACTAACAGATAGGAATAGCCGTTATTGTAACTTTTTAGATTTCGGAATTCGATCAAATCTGCCTCCCACACATCGTCAATGTTTGTTACGTAATGCAATCGCGGAAATTTTCTGCGTAATGGTCGATGCAACGTGTACGCATTTTGCGAGATCCGAGCCAGCGTACAACTTCTCCCCGTGAGAAATTCGGTTTAACGGCACGAGTTAGATCCACCGTCGAATAGCTCGCATAAAGCGATGAATCGTAGTTTTTCAAACGTCATCGTTATTTCAGTTTTTTCTAACCGAGTAACCGATCTTTTCCCGTTTGCAAAGATACGAGGGTATCAGTTTTTTGTGTACGAGAAAGAATCAACAAACTTTTCTCGTTTATTTTTTGTTCATAATTTTTACGTTTTTCTCTTTCCTCATGCTCTCGATACAATCGACGCGGAACTCGCACTTTTGATATAAAAAGCGTAGAACTCGCGCGAGGTCGAAGTTTTACGCTATTTACAGTAACACCGTGCGTGGACAATAATCTTTTATTTCTTGCCAGTGCAGAAGGTATGTTCAACACACGGAGTAATCGTGCAAACTGATTTCTATCCACTGCTTTCATAGTTTTTCTCTCGCGCATTGCACCGTTTAAGTCAGTGATATTCGAATCTTTCACGACCATCTATAGTCACGATTACATGCTCGTCCCAACTAATTCTATCGGGCATAGCTTTTCGAAACAAATGTTTCATCAGTAAGTGTGCATACTTACGATAAGATTTCGATATGCTTTCCAGTATTTCTTCGATGCTTTTGATCGTGTGATTATGCTTGCTCGAAATTTCAAAATTTTTCGTAATATCTGTGTTACTAATGAAATATGATGGCAATGGTACATCGGATATTTGTGTGAGATCGTGAAAAACGCCATTGTTTGTCATCTCGTTAGCGAGATGAGCGGAGACATCTCGTGTAGCGTTGTGTTCTATATTTTCGTTATGTTCGTCTTTCTGTCTTCGTGTTTCTTGGATAAATAGTAGGTATCGCCGTAATGCCTCTCTACATTTTCCACCTCTCGCTTTCGTCACGCGGCCCGCCGGAATTATGAATATGACTCATCTCCGCATCGAGTCGTGTTAGTTGAGTTCTCGGGATTTGCGTTGTATTATAGTGCTCGAGGTTATCCGAATTTCGCGGTACTGTTATTTCTTTTGACTCTCCATCAACGAATGATGTCAGATTCTGACGTAGCTGATGTTGCATTCTCTCCTGAATCATCCCACAAACATAAACACATATCCCATAATCGTCAAAATAATAATCATAATTAACAACGAATAATTTAAACAATAAAAATTAGTAATGTAACCATATAATATTCAATTTCTCATTATTAACATAAATAAAACT